CAATACTGATAAGTGATTAATAAAAGTCAAAAGACCAAAGAGGTCACCTTAATACTAAAAAAAAAAAAAAAAAAAAAGCAAACTGACAATAAACTATGAAAAGATTTATTAAACAAGCTATATATATATATATATTGATAATAAGCTGTATTTGTATATTAAAAATAATATTATTCTTATATGTGTAATAGTCTTTATTACTAGCTTTTTGGAAAATCTTAGTAATATTGATATAGGTGATTAAAAAAATTTCTGATGGTCTAGAAATTATTGAACTTAAGCTTTAATTAAAGTTCTTCAAGACTTTAACTTACAGGTTTAACCTTTTTTTTTTATATTGCAAATTATCTGAAATTATATATAAATAATTATTTTGGTGATTTAGATATTTTTAAAAAAGGATATTAAATATTAATAGTAACAGCATGTCTATAACTTGTAATTTTATAATTTGTAAATTTGAAATTTTTATTTTTTATTGTATTTTTTAAAAGATTATATATAAATTCTGGATTTATTACATTTTATCAAATTTAAAATCTTAAGTATTTATAAGGTAAATTAGTAGGTCCACAAACATTCAGCAATCAGCTTGAATTTAGGATTAAGAATAGACTGAAGTAAGATGGCATTAAGCAATAATACTGATTAATTATATTATAGTAAAATTATTATTTGAGTAGCTTTATTTAGTGCATGGGCTGCCACTTTATTAGTAAAGTTTTAGGTAATTTTGAAAAAAAATTATTAATTTTAGAATATTTTAACCTAAATTCAACTGATTTTGTTGAATTTTTGTGGACTCACTAATCTATTCAATTTATATACTATTATACAATATAAAAATTTAAAATGCATATATATTTTACAATTATAATAAGCAATTTAGATTTTTCAATTAAAATTTACAAGTTAATAAATAGCATTTGATTATATATATTTTAAATAATTGAATATTTATATTTAAAAAATTTAAAAAATTTTAAATAAGACTATTAAATAGTTTTTATAACCTGGTCAGGTTAAATTTTGAAAACTTGTAAAAAAAATTTTTTATATGTTTTAATAACCAGGTGGTTTTTAAAAAAATTTATAAAAATTTTATAAAAATTTATATATAAAATTTAAAAAAAGAGATAAGTCCTGTAGCCTAGTGGTCTAGGCACCCCTCCTTCTATAGACAAGATCAACAGTTCAATTCTAGCTGAAGGTAAAAACTTTGTAATCTATAGAAGCATATAAATGTATGTGAAGCCCTGTGGCTAAGTCTATGTGAATAGAAAATCAGTGTATAAGGAAGTTTCTGGAAAGAAGTTTCCCAATATGGAGAGTTGATGCTCGATGCGAAAGAAGCAGTGGATATATCAGAAATAAAGAGAAGGCACACTAGTGGATGATATGGTAAACATAAAAGAAAACTATGAAAAAGAAATAGACTTAGTGAAATTTGAACATCTCTGGCATTAAAACCAGTTTAGTAGATACAGGTTACACTAAGTTGGATCTAAGTGGTAATCTTGGTACTAGCTTAATAAGCTTGTGTCAAGAGTGAATTGAGGGCTATGGATATTTGGTAACATCCAATAGGGTGGTACTTTAATATAAATAGTAATTAGATAGTCCTAATCTGATATGTCAATACAATAGTAATATAAGGATTGCACATATATGCAATAGTGTTAAAAATCAGAGACTTTAAATAGGAAACCTACAGGCAGGTTTCAGGTATGACAATTAGTAGGTAACCTGTAGGCAGAGCCTTTGAATAGACAATAACTAAAGTTGTATATGTGGCTAATTGTAGCCTCATTGATAGACTTTGTATATAATTATATAATTATATATGTTACTTAATAAAAGATATACAGACAAGATTGCCACGTCAAAGTAAAAAAAAAATAAAAATAAAATTTAAAAAAAAAAGCTGGCTAGCTAGGTCTGTTTAGAAGTTTTATGTTATGAAAACTATAATATTAAATTTGTATAACCTAATTTAAAAATATATAAAATTTAATAATTTTATATAATTTTTATTTTATAATATAGATTATTATTTTTTTTTTTTTTTCTTTGGCAGCCTTGCCGGTCATCTTTATTAAGATTCTTGCATACACAACTTGTATGAAGTTGGCTTAAATTTTGGCCCAACACCTTTCGGCTGCTTCTAAGAGTGCCCAAGAGTGGTCTGCCGCACTGGCTGAACAAAGATTAACAGCCAGGGGTGATACCAGATCTGCTAGTAAGGCCATACAATGGCCTCGAATTAAAAAAAGATTTATAAAAAGAACTAGAATTAATCATCTGAGCTATGCTATGGCTGTAACCAACACTTGCAGTCAGGGCTAAACCTTTAACCGTTATGCTCTTGATGACCTTTCTATTGAGTAAACTATATACTCTATCTAATTTACTTCTACAGAACCCTTCTAGTTGTAACCTTTTCTTTTTCTTTTTCCGATATTTCCATCCAAATACTTCTTTGCTTCGTCTTTTTCTTTTCTTCTTTGCTCTTCCTAATCTTCCCTTTTCTTTTATCTTCTCTTGATCTTTGGTTTTTTGGTTAACATCTATTTTCTTCTGTCTCCAGTGGAAAGTGTTCTTCCATAATGATCTTTTTCTTACTACTTTTTTGTTTTCTGTTGATTGTTCTTCTTCTTCCTATTCTCTAAATTTTGCTTTTACTTGTGATAGGCCAAACTCTTGAGGTTTCTTTATCAGAATCTTTAGATTACTTCTTTCTACTTTCTCTTTTCCTATTTGCAACTTATCTATATACTTCTTCTTTTGCATCCACCAATCTGCATTAACAATTTTCTTTTTCTTTTTTTTCCATGCCTCTTCAGCTTCTTGATCAAATAGCCTTTTATTACTTTCCTTGCACATTCTTTCACTTGTAACCTTTTCTGTCTTGTTCTTGAACCTCAAAATAGCTATTTCCTCAATGTTCTTCCAGCTAATTTTCAGTCTTGATTCTTCCTTCAGCTCTTTTAGCACTTTCCACATTTTTTGTCTACTTTTATCTATACTCTGTTTTGTCGTAATTTCTTTCTTCATCATTTGATGCGTTGATTGCTGTGCTTGGGCTTTTCTTTTTTCCTTTTTCTCCTTTCGAAGCCTGGCTTTTTCTTTTGTAAATGCTTTTTGAAATTTTGTAACAATTTCTTTCTTTATTGCATCTACATGATGTTTTTGCTTTAGAGCATATATTTTTATCATTCTGTTACTCCAACCTATTTCAAGTCTTCTTTCAAATTCTAATGTTGTCATACTTATTGGCCCATACTGTGCTTTAATTGAGTTTTTCATTTTACTTAGTGCACCATTTGCCTCTAATTCTACATATAGATTATGCATTTTCTTAAGTCTATCTAGTTCTTGTGTTGTTAAAATTCCACCAAGATACTTGCTAATTAATGAAAAATCTTCTGCTTGGATGGACGTCACTGCTATAGGTTCTGTTTTCTTTTTGTTTTTGTCTACACTTTCATGTTCTTCTACTTGTCTAATTTCTTCTACTTGTTTCTTTTTCTTTTTCTTCTTTTTACTTCTCTTTTCTGCTATTTGTTTTTGTCATTCCATTTCACTTTTTCTAGAACCTTCTTTGTTTATCTAGATCTGTTTTTCAGATTGGTCATCTATTCTATCACGTGTACTTGTTTGTTTACTTTGTTTTGATTTTTCTGCTTTGTGTAACCAAACTGATCTGCAGAAACAAGGTAACGACAATCCCCACTTTTTACAAAATTTTTGCAAAAATTTCGACGAAAATTTCTGGTTTTTTACTGTTGCTTGCTAACAGTGTACTTTTTCTAAGTTTTTTTTTTTTTTTTTAACAACTAAGTGAAACTTTTGGAGCTCTTTAACTTTTCTTATAGCTCCAAATATTGTTTCCTAGTGTCAGTTTCTGTATTTCTTGTGGTTTGCTTCTCGGAAATTTTGGTCAAGGGATTTGCAGAGGAGAGTTTTTTTTTTGATCGATTTATAATATAGATTATATTTAAATTTTTTGATTAAAATTATTTAATTATTAAAGTTTATATCTAAAATATGGCTAATATTGCTTAATTTAAAATGAATAAAATTTATAAAAATTTTATATTAAAGCTAGTATAACCTTTATATATATTATTCAGGATTCTGTAGAGAGTATAGTAATCTAGTGAAGTGAACAGGTTGTCAACTTTCAAGTGGTAGGTCTAGTGTTCAAATTCTATAGATAGCAAAATTTAGAAATTATATTTGTATTATGGTAACTGTATCTTGTTGATTGATTGAACAGAAGAAATGATCTGTAATCTTAGAGACACTATCTTGAATAGAAGCTTAGACATCTATGCAAAGTGTAACATTATATATACAGTCAAACCTCTTTATAGTCACCTTCTCTATAGTCACATTTGCTTATAGTTACATAAATTTTTAGACTCAACTTATATGACACTTATAAATTTAACCTTTATATAGACACAATTTCTTTATAAGCACCAAATTCTTAAAACCAAGTGTGTAATTATAAAAAGACTTGACTGTATATAAAGAAATATTAATAATCAGTATTGCATAAGACTCTGGTGCAAACTTATAATAAGACCACTGAATGTATAATACTAAGAAACTAAAATAGGGGTGTGGCGACCTAGTGAAGTGGTCAGGTTGTCAACCCCCCAAGTGGTAGGTTGGGTGTTCAAATCCCA